ACTGTGAAACAAGCACAGTGTTCCTTGAAATATGAGCCATTTGGACTTCTCATTGAGTTTTTATCTTCTCCTGGTCCTGCCTCTAATAAACCACTGTGTTTCTGTAGGATAAGAAACAACTCAAGAGTACTGAAGGGCTAGAGAGGTTGATCAGTGGGTAGGAGTGTTTGCTGTTCTTGCCAAGGGGCTACTAGACTACTAAACTTGAGAACAGGGATGTACTGTGCCTAAAACCAAGACTGGAACTTTGAAGAATCTTTGACAACAGGCATAACTCTTACGTCTAGAATTTTGATGTGCTTTGACCTCTGACCCTCATATCTGTGTGGTCCATGTGGCTTAGAGAACCTTTTTTTTTTTTTTAACAGCTTCTGGTTATTTTCCTTCACTTTCTTCTATTCATTGCTGCACCAAGATATCTTTGTTCATCTTCCCTTTTCTCTATAAACATGTAAATAATGAAGGAATGCATGAACTAAGAGAGTCTGTTGATAGTGTCTCTGTATAACATGTCATACTTAATTTTCATAGATGATACAATTCATCATCCATGAAATAACTCTTGATCTGGCTTAGTTTTTCAGACATCATAGTGACTTGGGTTGCTGACATACTATGGTTTCTTCCTTGGGCTTCTGATGCTTGCTGGATATTGTATAGTCGGTGTCTTCACTTTACCAATTAGTATAGGTTAGACCAAATTTTTGCCCTTGGTCTGATGATATTGAATTCCATCAACCCAGGTTTGATGGGTTGGTACCACTTAAATAACACTGTTACATGGCTGAATTATTAAAATAAGATTAGAAAAATAGAAACAAAAGGAAATATTTATGTTTTAAGAAAATAGGAAAGAAAAAGAAAATTGTAGGTTGGCTTAAGAATATTACCTCTAGCTTTGACTCTTCTTTCTTTTGGAAAGAAATATCCAAAATGGCCACCTGTCCACTCTGATCTAAGTTCTTATAATACAGTTCTTGGTTGACAAAGGAAGAAATAAGTAAAACTATTTCAGAGACACCCACTCATAGAAGCACAGGCTTGAGAAACAGAGATATGGAGTTTAAGATATATGGGAAAGAATCAGCAGATAAGGAATAGAAATTCATATGCAGTGACATTTTTCCCAAAACTAATTATAATAGCAAGAATTTGGAGCCAATTTAAATGTTCAAAATAGCAATAAATAATTTTTTGAGGCTTTAGTTTATGTAAAACATAATATTAAGTGTTTTATGAAACCATCTCATTGTGGTTGTTTGAATGAGAATTGCCCCCCCCCCCAATCGTACGTTTGAATACTTGGTTTCCAGTTAGTGGAACTGTTTGGGGAAGATCAGGAGATATGCCTTAGTGGAGAAGATGAAGTCAGATCAGACCCAATCCCCCTCCCCTCTCTCTTTCACTGGCTGTCTTTCTCCCTGCCTGCAAATGTCAGGTCAGATGTGAGCTCTGAACTGCTACTCCTGCCACCATTTTCCCTGCCATGATGATCATGGACTAACTCTCTGAAACTGTAAGCAAGTACCCAATGAAATGCCTTCCTGGATAAGCTGCCTTGATCATGGTGTCTCTTCACAGCAATACAACAGTACCTAAGATGGTTATTAAAATCCCTGAGTGAAGCATGGCTCTTTTCCAGTTTTCTGTGAAGAACACAAGTCACAGAAAGGATTAAGAATTTGTTTGGGGTTATGTAACTCCAAGTGGTTGAGCTAGGACCTGAGCTATTTCATGTGAGTTCACAGTTTACCTTCAAAATAGCTTCCAACAGGGGTGCGATTAAATGGAAACTGTATGGTATGAGTGTAATGAGTATTAGGCAATCAAGTATATTTTGAGTCATTTTTAATGAGGAAGTGCTCATTAAATGACACTGAATGTGAAAGACACACCGTGACATTGCTAAAGCATGTGATCTCCAATAGGGTGTTGATGTGGAAATGACTGTCTCTAGGTTGTGACACACTCTTAAATCCTGTGTGCCCTTCATAATCTTCCCAAGTCTCTCATAATTAACCTGTGCTGATGGAGTGACAAAGAAAAATATCTGGAGAAAATAGCTATAGGCTGAAGCTTTAAAGAATCAGTGCGCAGAGCTTTTAGCCCAATAATACATACTGTGGTGCCATCAAGAACCCAGCCAAGCAATGCTGTCATGCTGTGACTTTTCACCAGGGAAGCAATGCTATCTTTTGGGGGCCCAGACTGCTGTCAGGGCACCACTCTGAACTGCCCTACTGCAAAAGTGAGACTATTAATTTATGAGCCTAGTGACCAGTACAAAGTACATGAAAAACTAGGTGAGAAGTTCCACTCTTAACTGCCATGTAGGTGACATTGGCAAGTTAGTTGCCATCCAAAGTCTTCATTCAGTATACGAGTGCTGTCATGATGAAATTGCAAACATGATTGTGAGGCTCAGCAGAGAGGTCTACCGTGTCATCTGAAACACACTGGAAGATTCTGAATGGTTGCCTCACAGGGATAACAAACATGGTTTGACCGGAGGATGCCATATCATGAAGAAATAAGGAGACTGTTTGGCACCAACTCAAAAAACAAATACAATGCATTATTTCCAAAGCCAGTCCTTTGGAGTAGATTTGGTTAACTGAGCCTGGTATTTGTTGGGCTAAAGAGTATATGTATGTTCTATTTTTTTTGCCCCAGAATGAGGAGCTAGTCTTATTGTAAAAACTCCAACTCTTTCCAGACACATTGTCTTCTATTGGATCACTCTTGCTTTCCATGTCAGTATGTGAAGTAACAGCAAAAATCTCTCCAAACTAGAAATTATCTGGGCTTCTGAATATCCTCAAATATATCCTGTAAAGATATAATAGTCATACAATATAACACTCTACTTCAGGCAGAATTGTCCTACTATGAACAGAACACCACATGTAATAAAGGAATAACAGGAATAGCATGAGGTATCTTCAGCATGGTAGTTAATGGCCTGGTGGTTAAAGCTTACAGAAACAGTGTTATACAACTGTGACAGAATCTATGTCATTCCATTTGTGGATGCTTTCAAGGGTTAGAATACTTAAAAGTACTACAAAATACTAATAGCTAGTGAATTAAGAGAGTAGAATTGGTTTTTTTTTCTCACACACCTGTTTCCTGTTAAAATATCTTCACCACAACTTTTGCTTTTATAATAAAAAAATTAAGAATGAGTTATAAAAACAAATAAATAGCCACTTGGTGGCAGTATAACATGGAGAATGTATGGCTTCATTTCAGTCTAAAAAGAATTGTCACAGAATCGATTTCTTCTCTAATAGTCTTATTTATAAGTTATTTTATTCAGATACTTAATTCTTTGTTAAATTATCCTCTCATAATTAAGTACCTCTTTCAAATGACTAGCTTAATTTAAATGAGTACACCTTGTTGATTTGAAACTATGATAACAGAAAATTGTATTTACTCATTAAGGCTAATAATGTGAAATATAGTTATTTCTGTATTATATGTTAATAACCCTATAAAGTTTTAGTTGCCAAATAACCAACTTAGTTTATACAACAAAATTTATACAACAAAATTAGGATAACTAGTACTGAAAATACAACAGCATAATTTACTATTTTTAAATAAAAATTCTAGTTTTCAAATAATAAAAGTAAAAATAAAAGCACCAGCAACATATGCTGTAAACCTCTGCCTTTGCTAAAGAGAAAATGATGCTGCATTTTAATTTTGTATTTCTGTTCTTGAAATTCCAAAAGCGTGTAGCTGCAGGTCCTTTTTGAGTTGTGTGAACCATTCATCTAGATGAGTAAACCTGGCAGTTGGCCATGACTACTTAACCCTCATGACTCAGAATTTAGGAGAATTATTTGCTGGGGAGCAGAAGAAACTTAGTGAAACATCGAGAAACTCAAAGCAACTTCTGATTGCCACAATTGACAGGGAACATTTTCCTCTTGCTGGAGAAAGAGTCAGAACACAAGACACACCTGACAGTTTTCTCATGCTTTCATCTTCTAAAATCCCCAGCCCACAGTTTACAGAAAACTGTCCTGCAGTCGCCTGCATACAATTAGCTTTTTCAAAAAGTTCTAAAGACCTAGAGGAATCTATTCTTTCAATATGTGTTGTCCATTTCTTAACAAGTGTCCCAGGGACCACACTTTATTGCATAAGCCTTTGGTGGCTTGGCAACAGGGACATCTGTGACCCTGGAATGATTGAGTACCTAGGGTTTGTAGGGTGCTGAAATTTGAACCTTTTCAGAATCAGAACCTTCTTCAGAGCTGTCTTCTGCTCTTGAGAGTTGTATCCTTGAAGTCACCTCTGACAGCTCTCATTTATTAGGACTCAGGAGATGGGCAAGCTTGCTCTGGAACTCTTTTGAATTCAAACCTAGAGGAAATTAACTGCCAAGACTTTTTACCTCACCCAGTTCTGGAGCTTTCATTAGTGGGGGCCTGAAAGTCTGATGGCTAGACAGGGCTGGCCAAGATCCTCATGAGCAAGAAAGCAGCAGAGAGGGGTCATTAGTGACATCTCACCTCTGTGTTACACATTAAAGTGTCTGTTCATAAAAGCTCACCTTAGTGCAGCCAAAGCAGGATGAACAAACCAGAACCTGCACCAAGGCAGTGGTGATGCAGCTTGGATGGTCAAGGCAACTTGGGCTTCATAGCATCACCTATTGGAAGACACCAAGTAGTGACAAGTTATTGTGCATTTTTGTGGCTGGGTGGAATTTTTATTTTGGCATTGTCTTGGTGTTTGTTGCCTAGAAACCAAGTGAAATTGCTAGCCACATTGGTATTTTAAACCCTGGTGTAGTTTTTAACTATCCACATAGAGATTCCTCCTTCAAGATGTAGTCACTGAAAAGAAAATAAGAACTTTGCTTTATCCCACACACTGAATCTATGAAAATTACTAGTTTAATTATCTCCAAAGATGTCTGAGGAAAGTTTGTCACCAGAATGTTAAAACCTTACATACTGATGCTCTTTCTTTCTTGTTTTAAGTTCCCCAGGTCACAGCAAGATCATCCCATGAATCTCAGAAGATTGAGATGCTCGCTGCTACAATCTTTAAAGGACATTCTACTTCTGGTAAAAAAAAAAAATACACACACGCATGCACACATACATATTGTGTGTGTACATATGTATTGTGTGTGTGTGTGTGTGTGTGTGTGTGTGTGTGTGTGTGTGTGTGCTAAGGCTTCCTCAGCAGGAAACTTCAACACCAAAAATAGGACATCAGCATTTCTGGGAAATACTTGACTAGGTTCAAAATGTGCTTACATTGAAGGTAAGCAATAGTTCAGAGGTACCTGTCTTCTGGGGTAGTGAGGTGGTCACATTTTCATTTCAGCAGGTTCTGAGTCTCAGGTCCCAAAAATGTCTTTTAAAAAATATATCACCTGTCCCCCATGTGCTAGTGTTGTATACACGTCATGTGTCAGTCTGAGGACGCTGTTGAGATAAATGCCATGGTTCTACTTTATAGTTGGGAAAACTGAAGTGCAGGGAGGTTGAAGCATGCTCAAATGTACAAAGCTGTTAGAAATTTGAGTCTTCTCGGGTGTTGGTGGTGCACACCTTTAATCCCAGCACTCAGGAGGCAGGCGGATCTCTGTGAATTCGAGGCCAGCCTGGTCTCCAGATCAAGTGCCAGGATGGGCTCCAAAGCCACACAGAGAAACCCTGTCTCAAAAAACCAAAAAAAAAAAAAAAAAAAAAAAAAAAAAAAGAAAAAACAAAGAAAGAAATTTGAGTCTTATTATTTTGTTTTATTTATTTATTTGTTAGTTTTTGTTTTGTTTTGTTCTGTTTTTCAAGACACAGTCTCACACTGTAGCCCAGTTACAGGATGTCTTGAAATTCATAGCAAGCCTCCTGCCTCAGCTTCCCAAATGCTGGGATTAGAGGCATGAGACATCACACTCAGCACTCTGCTTTTAAATATTCAAGTCTGTGCTCTTTCTCTTAGATGAACCACTTACCCATTTTATTTGTTAATATGGCTTGATATGTTTTCATTGGTGGCCATATGTAAATATTTCAGGCATGTAAAAATATTAAATAAGATAGTACAATGAGCAAATAAAACTCCAAACTGAAACTTGACATTGAAAACTTGATGCCAGACTATTTCACTAGTAGACTATTTACTTCCTGGCACAGAAATCTAACAGGACTAGAGTAGGAAATTTTCAGGTTGTATTGATATTTTTGCATTGCTATTAATTTATTCGACAAATGTGTTAAATAATCATGTACCTGGTACTGTTCTGGGTGATGGGAAATTTACAATGAAAAAAAAATGGACAAAGTTGGGCCTGTTGGAATGCTAGCTATGAGGATGTGGAAGCAGAAAAATCAACAGTCCAATACCTCAGCTACAGAGCAAGTTAGAAACCAGTCTGGGCTACATGAGATCTTGTCAAAGAGTGAAGGAGACAGGGGAGGGAGGGAGGGAAGGAAAGAGGGAAAATAATCAATGCCTTTGTCTTGAGCTTCTACTCTTCATAGATAGGGAAGAAAAACAACAAAATAAGAAGGAAAATGTCACATGTACAGAAACATGAAGCAGGCAAAAACATCCCAGTATAGATCCCTAATTGTATACATGCACTTTGAATTTTCTGTGGAAATTTTGGAGGCTTGGGACTCTCATGGCTGCTCCCTTAGACAGGCAGTACTATCTATGTCCTATGGAAAATAAAATGTGACTCTCAACAAGTTTACAGTTATTCCCCAAGTTCATAGAGCTGATGAATGGCAGAGTTCAGTTAGACTCCTGGTCTCTCAAATCTCCTCCTTAGACCATTCCTCCAAGCACCATGTTACCATGAGAACCTTCTCTCCAGTTCCAGGCTCTAATGCTCAATGGTGTACAGTAGCTTGTAACTCCGTTAGTTGCTTGGACTATTCAATAATAATTCTTAAGTCCTAAAATAAAATATTTATTCGCTAGTCTATGAGAATTTGAAACAGGCTAAAGTTCACAAGCCCCTACCTGGCAAGTGTGTTTAAAGATGAAGAAAGACAGCCGGGAAACGCCCAGGTGAGTGGAACAGAGAATTGACTAGTGTGGGGCTAGTCACTGTCTAGTGCTAATTACCAAAGAAAAGTGGGAAAGGAGGCAGGAACAGAAGAAGAAGAATGGAAAGGTAGCTGCTAGCTTAGTATGGCCACACAACAAGTTCCAAATTGGTAAGTCATGTCTGAAATATCTGAAAATACTGAGGCTATTGTCCCCTGTACTCATGTGTTACATTGAGTAACACATGTTGGATAAACTATCCTGAGTGAGCTAAAGAGATCAATTCAAGTTCAATTGTTTAAAAAAAAGAACCTTTTTAAAATAGGTGTAAGATACAGCAATTTTTATTTCTTTCTCACACCATATATTGTTCTAAGCAGTATTGTTGTGCTTTTTCATAGGTCAAGTGAGAAGTCACAGAAAAATTTTGCCTCACAGAAAAGGTTACAAAAAGATCTTGGTTGTGACTTTGACCAGCCTTAGCCATTGTCACAGCAATAGGGAATTCTCAGCTGTGTCACACAAACCAAATGAGGTTCATCACAGAACATATTCACATAAAATATATGTATGTGTGAGTTGACCACATTTGCTGGATATGCACTTCTAGAAACCCACTGACCTCAGGTAGATGTGGTTCAATTTTCTCAGACAGAAGATGGTTTCCTGGGCTACACAGTCAGGCAATCTAGAAGGGCAGTCACTTTGTAGTCTTGGGAAAGTGTTATCTCTGCCTTCCCTCCCCTTTGAGATCAGTGATTGTCACTTTAAACAGGGTACAGAAAACAGTAACATGATCACCACATGGACACAAATGCCTAGTTAAAATTACTTTTCTTTCCTTTCTTAGATAATAGTCAAGACATTGGATTTTTGTCGGGAATGGTCTTCTTGACCATCATGTTGCTGATTTTTTCTCTGATTGGGATATTTAACAGATCGCTTCGAATAGGGTAGGTTTTTGTAGTTTCTGGTTCCCGATTTAGGCCATATATGTATACTATCCAAATGTAGTCAAGTCAATTATTTACTAGAAAAACACACTAACATCTTGAATTTGAAAAAGAGAAATTTTAATCATTATTGTGGGTGTATAATGTGTGACTGGGCAAGTGTACACATGCCATAGGGTGTGCACAGAGATCAGAAGACAACTTTGTCAAGTTGGTTCTCTTTCTACCTTTATGTGAGTTTCAGGAATGAACAGGCCTTGTAAGCACAGCTGGTATTAGTGAGAGTGTGACAGCCATGTTGTGTCCTGAAGGCAGCATTTCATAGCATTCCTCCCTATACTCCGGCTCTCACAATCTTTCTGACCCTCCTCCTGTCATGCTGTCTTGAGTCTTGCAAGATGAAGGTATGATAGATGCTCCACTTAGATTGATCACTAAATAGTTATTTATTTCTCAGCACTTTGAGTTATGAGTCTCTTCACTGACTTCGGCATACCGCAAAGAGAAGCTTCTCTGACCCAGATTGAAAATACTAGTACTAATCTATGGCTATAAACAAATACATAGAAGGAAATTTGGCAACAAGACCATTTAGCAAATGAACAGTAGTAGATCTCTTCCTTATTTAGAACTATGCCACCCCTAGTCATGAGCTTTTAGCCAGGTTTATAATACTGCAGTTAAATTTCCTCCTGTGGAAAGAGATTCAAATTCAATCAGAAAGTTGTTGGTTACTCCTGTAACATCCGTGACACTATGGCACCAGTGAACATGTCTTGCCTGGCATTTTAAAATTGTAGAATATGGGCACACCACTGGGTAAAGAGCAGTGAGGACTTTTCTCCCCTACATAGCCCCTTTCAGCCCTATGAACACTGGCCAGTAGAAAGGAAGTTCCAGGTCAGTTCCAGCATGATTTCCCTATATTCTGCAACCAAACTGTATGATGTCTTCAGAAATAATGTCTTACCATCTACTTACAATGGACAATGAAAAGCAGTAGTAACAGTCTCTGTTGTCTTGAGGAAGGGCCTATCTTCTTTCAAACAACTTCTTTCAGTATGGTATTAGTAAAGGTTTATGCCTAGTTCTTCAAAATGAGATAGGACTAAGGAAAGGTCCCTGACATTAAAGGCCTCTGACATTTCTAAATGTTACAAGATGCAGTTAGCATTTCTAATATGTTAATAGACTAAAGTTGTTTAATGTTGCAGTTTTCTAGTGTGTCTAATAATGCACAGATTTGGACATACACGAACATTCTTTGGTTTCTGACTTAGACCATATATAGAGCCAATCATAACTTGGAAGTCAGTGTCTTTTTTTGCCATCACTTGTTACATGATGTAATCTTGCATCTAAATGAAGAAGAAAGATTTTAAGCAAGCTAGTCTATAAATTATACTAACCTATTATCCACAGCCTTTTCCCACAGAACTTAATATTTCAAATTTTAAATTATATGTCAATAAGTATATCCCTAGTGCCTTTTCAAAGTGGACAAATGAGAATGTAATTTTGCTTGGTGATGTCTTAAAATGTAATTAAATACAAAGACTTTTCAGACATTTTAACGTCAAAATAATGCCTGCAAAAATTTATATTAGTAGTATCATCTAAAGATATCCTAGATGTTTTTGAAATATTAAATAATAATCATTTCATAACTATAAGACAGCTCAAAGACTTTTAGTTAGCAATAATCCAAAAGAAAATAGAACAATTATTGAATAATTTAATTCCTTAAATTCTGAATTTAAGAAAATAAAAGAGGGCTGCAGAAATGGCCCTTTCACTAAATGCTTGCCTTGCAAGCAGTAGGACTTGAGTTTGAGCCCTAGAATCCAAGTTAACAAAGGCCACAGGTATCGTGTTACATACTTATAATCCTAGTGCTGGAAAAGCAGAAACAGGCATATCTGTGAGGCTCACTAGCCTACTTGCCAAGCTCTAGGCCGGTAAAAGACCCTGTCTTCCAAATAAGGCAGATAGCACCTGAAGAATGACACCCAGGGCTGTCCTCGGGCCTCCACATGTACTCATATCCACAAATCCACATATGTATGTCGGAAAATACACACACACAAAATAGAAAGAAGTAGTAGTTCCAACATAAGTATTTAACACATATGCAGATATTGTTGGTTAATAGAACTATACATTACTGGTAATAGCCTGTTATTAGAATCAGAACTAAAACAAAGGCAAATATCATATTTTAAATATGCACAGATTTTATATATATATATATGTATATATATATGTATGTATGTATTAGTGATTAAGATCAAGTTACCAATAACGCATCAATGTTGCATTAAGAAGTAAAAGCATTTCCCTTGGAGTCATTTAACCAAGAACCAAGTTCAGATTTGAATCCTCTGCCTCATGTTCCCTGTACCTTCAGTCCTCATCTGTCTGCTGTATAAATCTGAACCTGTACCTTGCCGAAGGCTGTCTTGTGAATCTGTCTGTCCATGTGTCAGCATGTCTATCCCTGTGTCAGCGTGTCTATCCCTGTGTATGGCTGGCTATCTGTGAGTGCTGTGTGTGTGTCCCTCATGAAGGGCTTCACTCTGTATTTATTGAACAACACAGAAAGCATCACATTGTGAAGGAATGGGATACCTTATAGAAATCTTTAGCAGAGTTATACAAGGGATTAAGTCCCTGGCTCCAACTGATCCCACCTGACCCAGATGGCATCAATGATAAACATCATTGTTTATCCACCAATAGCATCGATGAGTAGATCTTTTAAGATTGCAGCTATGCATTAACTTAGGTTATAAATGTTGATTACATGGGAAATCCAATGCAAGTAAGATTAATGGTTACATTGTTTTCTTAAAGGCGGGTTAAACAAACTGAATAGACAGTAAGCTAGCAGTCTTAAGTCTTAAGTGACCTTGAGGTATATTATTTCTGGCTGTGAGGTACAGCAAAAGTTTCAGTCTTTTGGAATGTAAAATATTTTTAGAATATTGTATTGCCACATAAATATAACAAAACTAAGAGTAGATAAATAAATATACATACATATATAATCACTATATACTATATCAGTGTGCTATATATCACAGTAGCATCAAGTCATTAGCTTGGTGTAATTATAAACATATAAAGAATGTGAATTAATTTTAAAAATTGAGTCATAAAAGATTGTATAAATATATACAAAGAAAGCATTCTTCCCTTCTTCAAAGTCAAAGGAGCTGGCAAAGTTCATTTGGCCATTTTTGTTGTTACTTAATAAATGTGCTGAGGGAACCTGTTAAAACACATAGCAGGTCTTATTTGTTTTTCAGTCTCTTCATGTGTAAAAATATACCTCAGATCAGTGTGGTCTTGTCTACATTCCTGGTACAACCTGTTTGCCCAAATGAGTTCACACAGTCAATGTAGAAAGTGCTTTTATACATGAAGACTGCACCAGGAGGAACATTTGGCAAGACATCAAACTGGCTTCTTATTGAACCTTTATTAGTAAGAGATGGAAGACTTTGCTCCATTGGGTAAAATTTCATTCCATTCTAGCTCAGTGCATCACTTGCTCTGATTCTAAAGAAATGTGCTGACAGAGCATGATGGTACCTGCCCTTAATCCCAGCACTTGGGAGGCAGAGGAAGGGGGATCTCTGAATTCAAGGCCAGTCTGGTCTGCTGAGTTAGTTCCGGTATAGCCAGGACTGCACAGAGAAAATCTGTCTGAGAAAAGGAAGGAAGGAAGGAAGGAAGGAAGGAAGGAAGGAAGGAAGGAAGGAAGGAGATAGGTGCTGCTTCTAATGTGTCATTCTGTCTTCTAGAATTAAAAGAAAAGTGTTACTGGTGATCCCAAAGTGGCTTCATGAAGATATTCCTAATATGGAAAATAGTAATGTTGCAAAATTGCTACAGGTAATCAAACAGCACCAAACAGAACCTGATTGGTTCCCAGTGTGGTAGGTATGCCAGTAATATTAGCATTGGGAAGGTTGGGGCAGAAGGATCACAAATTCAAGGTCAACCTGAGCTACATAATGAGACCTTTTCAAAACAAATAGTAGGGACTGAAAAGATTGCTCAGTGGTTAAGAGTATTTGTTGCCCTTGCGGAGGGCCCAAGTTCATTTCTTAGCAGCTTCATGGTGGCCCACAGTCATCCATAACTCCAGTTCCAGAGGATTCAATTCCCTTTTCTGACCTCTTCAGGCACCACATACAAACATAGTGCATATACATATATGTAAGCAAAAACACTCATAAAATGAAATAAATCTCTAAATAAATAGTAAACAATAGCAAAGTCCCCACAATTGAAATACCATCTGGAGTGCAGTCTGGTCATTAGAGTAGAAACATAGCTAGTATGTGTGGAAACAAAGTTTTAGTATTTCAAGCCCTACTTAGATGAAAGAACGGTTAGGAGAATAAAGGGCAGGAGAAAAGGAAACTGTACTATTCAGAAAGAAAGATTGGTAAGTGTCTTCAAGGTAGAGGAAGGAGGGAAGAAACATTCTGTGGAACATGCATTAAAGGCTCCAAATGGATTGTTTACAAGAAATGGAAACGTGTCCAAGTGGATCGTTTACAAGAGAGGGTATCACTCCATTGTCCCAACTTCATGGACTATGCAAAGATTATTATTGCATGATTGTAATAGATGGTGTCACCAGTGGTGGATTTATGTCAATCAGGAAAAAATGAGTATGCACCAGGATGGCTGTAGGAAGGGGAAGGATGGGAGGGCGGGGCTTTGCCAGCTACAGAGCAAAGGGTTAGAAGTCTAGAACTCTAGAATGCTTCCAGAACTCTGCTTATCCACCACCATTTTCAATACTCAGTCAGTGGGACAGAAATATCATCTAAACATGTGGTACTACCAGAGCAATGACCATAGAAAATGAGCCCACATGTGATGGAGGCAGAGAGGAAATATGGGAAGATGAGGACTTTCTTGAAAGAATATTATAGTCAGAAAAGTCATGTGAGCTCAAGTACAGAGGGGCAGCAAGATCTTGGGCAGTTCAGGTCTATTTGCAAAACAGACGCACATGGTTCTACTTAATGCTGAATGAACCCACTGTCTTAGTTTGCTTTCTATTGCTGGGATGAACCCCTGTGTTACATCTTGAAGTCCACCATCCAATGAAGGCAGGGCAGGAACTTGAGGCAGGTACTGATGCAGAGGCCATGGAGGAGTGCTGCTAACTGGCTTGCTTTCCGTGGCTTCTTCAGTGTGCTTTTCTATAGCTCAGGAGTGGCACTGCCCACAATGATCTTGTCCCTCCTCCACATCAGTCATCAATCAGGAAAACGTACCACAGGCCAATCTGGTGGCCACATTTTCTCAACCCTCTTCCAAAATGACTCTAGCTTGTGTCAAGTTGACATAAAACTAGTCAGCACACCCACCAATCAACTTAGCCAGGCATACATCATATGAACAAAGGGTTCCCGGATAAAATAAAAATAAATAAATAAATAAATAGAATTTTTTAAACTTTTTTTTGGTTTGGTTTTGGTTTTTCAAGACAGGATTTCTATGTGTAACAGCTCTGGCTGTCCTGGAACTCACTTTGTTGACCAGGCTGGCCTCAAACTCACAGAGATCAGCCTACTTCTGCCTCCTGAGTGCTGGAATTGAAGTTGCGTGCCAGCACAGCCTGGTAAAAAAAAAAAAAAAAAAATTTAAAAGTTTTTAACCAAGAAATATGCTTAAGACATGATTATTTTTAATTTTATCTTTGAGGGGCCTGAAAATAAAGGTTTAGAAGACACAAAAAAGACAAGTGGGAGATCATCCAGGACATAAACACTAATATCAAGGGGAAAGGAAAGGGAAGATGGAGAAAGAAAATTTCAGCCCTCGCTCAATTATTCAGTTGATTCCTTTGAATAGCTTTTGTTTTTTGGGTTGTTCTGTTTGTAAAATGAAGCAGTGTCTTTTTTTCTAGGAAGAAAGTGTATTTGGATATAACAATGCCGGCGAGCAGGCCCTGTACGTAGATCCTGTACTCACAGAGGTAAGTGAAGTCACTCCCCTGGAACACAAGCCCACAGGCCTGCTGGAGACCAGAGACTGTGCGCTGACAACTCTGTCGACCAGTTCTTCCGTTGTGTATATTCCTGATCTCAACACTGGATACAAACCCCAGGTTTCAAACCTTCCCCTTGGGGGAAGCCACTTCATTAGCAAGGATGAGAGGGAGTCCACAACCCTGGAGGACGCAGATGGCCACTTTGCCAGACTGAAAACGTATCCCGGCTTTGCATTTTCTGCCTCAAGTATGACTTTACTAAGCAAAACACTTATTCTTGATGAACTGAGCCTCATTTTAAATCAAGGTGAATTCAACCCTCTTGACATACAAAACTCAAGACAGGAGGAAACCAACATGATTCTGGAAAGCAACACACCCAGTGAAACTATTCCAGAGCAGACCCTCCTGTCAGATGAATTTGTCTCCTGTTTGGCAATTGGGAATGAGGACTTGCCATCTATTAATTCTTATTTTCCACAAAACATTTTGGAAAGTCAATTCAATGGGATTTCACTCTTGCAAAAATAGACTCTCTCGTCAAAATCAGTGAAAGAAGCTGCCTTTCCACTGAAGGCCAAATCTTCCCTCAAAAAAAGTGTAACTACACTTCCAAGACACCAAGAATAAACACTCCAATTGGCAAAACAAAACAAAAACAGCAAGGGTAGATTTGTTTGTTTCTTTTCATTTTCATTTTTTTTTTAAATATTCCCACTTGAGACAGGATCTCACATAGCCAGGCTTGACTCTAACTCACTACATGGCCAAGGATGACTGAATTCCAGCTTTTCCTGCCTCTTTCTCCAAGTGCTAGGATTAAAGGTGTGTGCCACCAGGACTATTTCTTTCATAGTTTCTTCATTAAGTTGTACAGAACATTTCTGTTTGTACAAAGGATGAATAGCGAAGAATACAGAGTAGTGAAATAAATGTAGTTCTATAAAATCAAAACATGAAAATTTCCTTGCAAAGGCAGAATCAAGTTTAATTTCTATCATTTCACTTAAAATTAGATATAGAACCAAACAACAAAACAAGTATAAACAGAAACAGAGGCTAGCAGCTAATTGACATAGTAGCTTATTGTTCTTGCACTACTTGCCTTGTTTTAGGTTAAAAGTTGTAAATCAATGGTGGTTGGATCCATGGACCTGCTTTCTCCATTCAGTTTAAAAGTGGTGGGCACCGTGCTGTGGCAAACACCAGTATTTACAATCTAGCAGAATCCATGTGAGGCAGGAAGCACAGGATTGGCAAGACAGGTGGTTGGACTGTTACTCTCAACTATGTGTTGAGTTATGTCGTAAAACTGCCATGAAAACAGGTATGTGTCCTACTCTGGAATGATGCCCTTGTCCCTCAGACATTGTGTGTCTCCTGAAGACATGGCAGGTTGGTCCCTACATGCCTCGGTTTACTTTTTCCTCATTTTCTGAAGCCATTGTTCTTCAAAGTAGAACAACTAGTTCCATTATAAAAACTCTGTTGTCTATTCTAAAGTATGTATGTATTTGTTGTACATTACATAATCGAAAAATGATGTTTGTGTCACTCACAAAATGCAATTGCTAAATTGACTTGTAAATTATCATGACTTTGCTTTATTCTCTTAAGGGAGACTGAGAATAAGAGAGAAGGGAAGGTCAGATTTGATGCAAAATGATAAGACAGACATCTTTGTTGGCTGATGTGGTATATTGTGAAAGATATTCCCACAGGTCATTTCACTGTATCCATAAATCTGGTGGATTTAGAAAGCTTTTGTCCAGTTTAAAGGATGAAAGAAAAAACGTTCTTTGTTCGTCTGTCAACGCTTCCGGAGCAATGCGTGCCTCTTGCCCCAGGCAGTGTGAAGGGAGCAACAGTTTTTGTTATGTGGTGTTTCCTCCCACCACGTCCCTGCTCAGCACAGGAAAACCTTTTTTTTTTTTTTTTTTTTTTTTTCAAATTAGCTTACAAAGTAGCAGTTTTCTTTGTGGCTTTTGTACATGTACTTAGTTTTGGTTGACACTCTCCCCACTTTACGTCCCCACGCCCATGCCCACTTGAGCCCTCCCACCCCCAGTACCTGCCACTGGTACCTGCACAGCACAAGTGTTCTGTTACCCTCTTCACCTCTCTGCCCTTAAAGCCTTTCTCCCCCTCTCAAGGGTCCCTTTCTAGTTCCCAGCCTCCACCCATACTCACATCTGCAAACGCATTATAGAAAATTGGAACTAAGGATCCGCATAAAAGAAACAACGTGCAGTGTTGTCTGCCTGAGCATGGGTCACTTCATTTCATGTAACGTCTGGGGGATGAAGAGACAGTTAACAGCGGGTACTGCTTTTGCAAAGGACCTGAATTCCATTCCCAGTACCCATGTTGGTTGGCTCACAGTTACTCAAAGTCCAGGGGATCTGACAGTCTTTCTAGTTTCAGAGGGTACCTGCATTCATGCACACATACAGACAAACACATAATTTAAATATACTTACAGAAAACAATATTTGCTTGTCACATCCATTTCCAGCAAAATTCACAACTTCATTTTTCTCTGATGCTGAGTAATATTCCATTGTGCATATGTACCACATTTTCACTATCCACTTCTCAGTTAGTGAATATCCAGACTGGTACCATTTCTTGGTTATTGAGAGTAGAGCAGCGATGAAAGAGGAGATTATTTCTCAAGTGGACGTTAAGTCCTTTAGGTATAAGCCCAATAGCAGTTGTATGATAGATCTACGACTAGGCTTTTGAAGACTTCTCCACGCTGCTTTCCATAGAGTCAACACCGTTTTACACTTCTTCCAACAGTGCATAAAGGTTCCCCTTTCCCCACATTCTCACTAGTATTTGTTTGCTTGATAATAGGCAGTCTGATTTAGATGGGATGAAATCTCATAGTTTTTTTATAACATAATTATTTATTGATTCTTAGGGAATTTCACATTACGCACGCCAATCCCACTCACCTCCCAAGCCCCTCCATTTCCACCCCTCACCCCTGCAGCTTTCCCCCAAAAGAAAACCCAAACAATTATTAGCAACAAAACAGACAAAAAATACCTCGATCCTCCATCTTCCCACCTCTGCAACACTTGTTCATTCATCTTAGTGGCACTGGGAGCTGTGGTGTGTCACACAGTGCACCCTGTTGTTCCCTCAGCTTTGCTTGCAACTGTTCATTGCAATGAGTCATTGGTCTGGTTCAAGGTCTCTGGTATCTGACACACCATCATCACTGGAAGCCTCACCGAAACTCCTCTCAGATATCCTGCTGTTGCCTTAAGTCATGGAGATCTTGCAGCTGGTTCCACAGGACCGGTTCCTTCATGCACTCCAGCAGGTCATCGATGGTAGATGATTTGGTGAGCCAACTCAAGGCCCAGGATGTGGGTCTGAGTGGTAGTTTAGCTGGTCAATCCAAGACTATTTCATTCATAGTTTCTTCAGAACACAGTTGTACAGAACATCTCTGTTTGTATAAAGGATAGTGAAGAATACATAGTAGTGAAATAAATGTGGGTCTATGAAATCAAAACGTGAAAATTTCCTTGCAAAGGCAGAATCAAGTTTAATTTTTTATATCATCACTTAAAAATTAGATATAGAACCAAACAACACAACAAGTAAAAGCTGAAAAAGAAGACTGGTGTCCTGAGGTGAGAGGGGGAGCCAGCTCTCCTACACCTGTGGTGAGGGGTGGGGCCATCTCTCCTGAGTGTGTTCGGGGGAGAGTGGGGAAGGGGCCCCGCGCAGGTGGGGGGGCTGCAGCTCTCCTGCTGCAGTGTCCATCAAGGGGCAGGGCCAGCTCAGCACAACCCTCAGATTTCAACATCCACGGCTTGGACTCACTTGGGTGACAGCTCAGGCCACCCAGTTCAGTATAATCCTGTTGTCAGCATGACCCTCAGACATCAACATGGTCTCAAGTGGCTGACCATATCCCTGGCATTGGCACAGCTTTCGATGGTATCAGGAGCCATGGATGTCAACACAGACACTGGCCATGATAGGTCCAAAGACCCAGACATGGCCCTAGGCAGGAGCCCAGGCCCAGACAATACCATGGTCCTGGCTAGCAGTGCAAGCCACTCAGATCAGCATGGCCCCAGGACCAGCATGGCCCTCAGACACCAACATGGCCAAAGGTTTCAGTTTAGACCTCAGACATCCGAGTGGCCTTTGGAGGCAACATGGGCCACAGATCCCAGCTGTGGTAGGACCAGGAACCCAGATATGGCCATTGGCAGCAGCCCAGGCCCAGTTATACACTGACCAAAACTGGAAAAAGTTTTGTTCCTTATTTTAGTGGAAATGTCTTGAGTGGTTTAACATTTAGTATAATTTTGGCTATAAGTTTCTTGTATATAACATTTAATATGTTGGACTATGTTCTTTCTATTGAGTCTCTTTGGGACTCTTATCAAAAGGGAGGTGCTGAAGAGCCAACTCAGTGGTTAAGAATACTCGCTGCTGTTGTAGGGGATTGGAGTTTGTTTCCGGCACCCACACTAAATGGCCTACAGTCACTTGTAACTTCAGCTCTAAAAGTTCCAAAGTCCTATTTTGGCTTTAACAAACATTTGCATGCACATTCATGTGCCCTAATACACACATACATACACATAAATAAAAAAAAAAGTCAAAGAGGAGTTTGGAAGAGACACACCCCCCCATTTTATTTTACAGTTTAGAAATAGTCTCTAAGTATATTATCTAGTTTTATATAGACTGGAGAGGGGAAAGGTCATCTGAGAGGAAGGAACCACAATTGAGAAATTAACTCCATAAGACCTTGCTGTAGGCTAGACTATCGGGCAATGTATTAATTAGTGATTGATGTGGGAAGGCCCAGCCCATTGTAGGGATGCCCTCTGGCTGTTGGTCATGGGTTCTATAAGAAAGCAGGGTGAGCAAACTCCAGGAGGGATCCAGTAAGCCGCACTCCTCCATGGCCTCCACACCAGCTCTGCCTCCAGGTTCCTGCCTGGTTTGAGTTCCTATCTTGACTTCCTCAGTGTACTTTGATTCAGGATATGTAAGCCAAATAAAGCCTTTCCTTCTCGAGTTGCTTTTGATCATGACATTTCATCACAGCAATATTAACTCAGCCTAAGAGAGCAAGGAAGAGCAACATCAACTGGTTATCAAATACCAAATGGTCAGCACTAAAAGCATATATAAAATCCATATATAAACATTATATGGATTAAGCCGATTGCATTGATGTATTTAGAAGGTGTGTGTGTGTGTGTGTGTGTGTGTAACAAAAATTAAAGAAAAAAGAAGTCATGAATTTGAAAGAAAGCAAGGGAGAATTTTGGTGAGGAGAGACATTTTTATTGTATATTTTCTTCAATAAACTGGAAATTGAGAGTATGCCTGCAACATGGCAACATATTTACAACTGTATTGGGTTTTCTTTCTATAATTCTTTTAATGTGTTTTTATTGAATTGTTGCATTTAGAATTATTATTATTTATACATAATAATTATTACATTAGAAGTGATACCACCATTACTATATAAATCTCAGGTA